CCCGCCGAAGGGCAGGCTATTTCAGCTGCTGTCCTTCTCAGTATACTCTTGCGCCCCGTTTTTTGGCTCTCCAGTAGACACACACTTTAAAGAAATCCATGTATAAAGTGGGATTATGAAGCAAAAATGTGGTTCTTTGTTGAGCTCATTTGCATACGCCTACCCAGAATCCCTTGCAGTAGTGAGAGCATGTTAAAGTGAGATTTCTGTGGGAAAAGCAAGTCTGTGTGTATTTGTGTTTAGAAATGTATTTAGAAATGTATTAACTATATATATATATACACACTGCTCAAAAAAATAAAGGGAACACAAAAATAACACATCCTAGATCGGAATGAATTAAATATTCTTCTGAAATACTTTGTTTTTTACATAGTTGAATATGCTGACAACAAAATCACACAAAAATTTAAAAATGGAAATCAAATTTTTCAACCCATGGTGGTCTGGATTTGGAGTCACACTCAAAATTAAAGTGGAAAAGCACACTACAGGCTGATCCAACTTTGATGTAATGTCCTTAATACAAGTCAAAATGAGGCTCAGTAGTGTGCGTGGCCTCCACGTGCCTGTATGACCTCCCTACAATGCCTGTGCATGCTCCTGATGAGGTGGCGGATGGTCTCCTGTGGGATCTCCTCCCAGACCTGGACTAAAGCATCTGCCAACTCGTGGACAGTCTGTGGTGCAACGTGACGTTGGTGGATGGAGCGAGACATGATGTCCCAGATGTGCTCAATTAGATTCAGGTCTGGGGAACGGGTGGGCCAGTCCATAGCATTAATGTCTTCGTCTTGCAGGAACTGCTGACACACTCCAGCCACATGAGGTCTAGCATTGTCTTACATTAGGAGGAACCCAGGGCCAACCGCACCAGCATATGGTCTCACAAGGGATCTGAGGATCTCATCTCGGTACCTAATGGCAGTCAGGCTACCTCTGGCGAGCACATGGAGGGCTGTGTGGCCCCCCAAAGAAATGCCACCCCACACCATTACTGACCCACTGCCAAACTGGTCACGCTGGAGGATGATGCAGGCAGCAGAACGTTTTCCACGGCGTCTCCAGACTCTGTCACGTCTGTCACATGTGCTCAGTGTGAACCTGCTTTCGTCTGTGAAGAGCACAGGGCGCAAGTGGTGAATTTGCTAATCTTGGAGTTCTTTGCAAAAAATGCCAAATGTCCTACACGGTGTTGGGCTGTAAGCACAACCCCCACCTGTGGACGTTGGGCCCTCATACCACCCTCATGGAGTCTGTTTCTGACCGTTTGAGCAGACACATGCACATTTGTGGCCTGCTGGAGGTCATTTTGCAGGGCTCTGGCAGTGCTCCTCCTGTTCCTCCTTGCACAAAGGCGGAGGTAGCGGTCCTGCTGCTGGGTTGTTGCCCTCCTATGGCTTCCTCCACATCTCCTGATGTACTGGCCTGTCTCCTGGTAGTGCCTCCATGCTCTGGACACTACGCTGACAGACACAGCAAACCTTCTTGCCACAGCTCGCATTGATGTGCCATCCTGTATGAGCTGCATTACCTGAGCCACTTGTGTGGGTTGTAGACTCTGTCTCATGCTACCACTAGAGTGAAAGCACTGCCAGCATTCAGAAGTGACCAAAACATCAGCCAGGAAGCATAGGAACTGAGAAGTGGTCTGTGGTCACCACCTGCAGAACAACTCCTTTATTGGGGGTGTCTTGCTAATTGCCTATAATTTCCACCTGTTGTCTATCCCATTTGCACAACAGCATGTAAAATTGATTGTCACTCAGTGTTGCTTCCTAAGTGGACAGTTTGATTTCACAGAAGTGTGATTGACTTGGAGTTACATTGTGTTGTTTAAGTGTTTCCTTTATTTTTTTGAGCAGTGTATATATATACACACACACATACACACTATAGCTCATTGATGCACAAACACTATGCAAACCCAATACACATACACTCACATACTGCAGTCTTTAAATACACACGCACAGACTCTACATGCCCTATTCACACACATACATACAAACAGATAGGCACACATACAGACAGACACACACACATACAAACAGACACATACATACAGACCGACACACACACAGACACAGACAGGCACACACACATACAAAGACACATACATACAAACAGACAGGCAGACAGACACACACATACAGACAGACACACACACACATACATACAAAGATACATACATAAATTCAAACAGACAGTCACACATACACACATACAGACAGACACACAGACAGACAGACACACAGACACATACAGACCGACACACACACACACACAGACACAGACAGGCACACACACACATACAAAGACACATACATACAGTCAGGCACACATACATACACACACAGACAGAAACATACATACAGAGACACACACACATATACAAACAGACAGGCACACATACAGACAGACAGGCACACACACACACATACAAAGACACATACAAACAAACAGACAGGCACACATACAAACAGACAGACACACACACACACACACACACACACACACAAATAATGTTTAAGGCACCCTCCTGTTTCCTACCTTTTAGGTGCAGGAGGGTGATTTTCCCTGGGGTCTAGTGGTGGCTCGTCTTGATGGGAGTCAGAGTTTGGGCTTGAAATGAGAGGCATCAACCTAACCTATATGGCCCTCTCAGAGCATAAGGAGACCTTAATCCCTCATCGGATAAGTTTTCTCCTTACTCCACATATTAAGCTACTTCGGTCTAGCACGGTATTGACAACGTTACATATGACAAGTCACCTACATCTAGACACTTAATCATGTTGGTTATTTACCTCATTTTCCTTTGATCCCAGCCTCAGAAGGCCCTCCACTACTCGAAACGGTTACATACAGCTCTCCTCGGGCATACCACGATCCAATTTCGGCCCTGCATATGGGCATTGACATACAACATTTTCCTGCTTTTGAGGGGAAACTACAACCCTTTCATATCACATTCTACTATTCCATACTGCCTAGCTAGGCCCAGGCAAATCCTCCCTCTATGGCCCCTCTCTCGGCACACTCCCAAGAACCCAAAACCCCTCATTCCGCAATTATAAGTATTCTGGCCTCTTTGATCTGTCTGTTTTACTTAAATTAGTATAACCCACACCTTCATCTAGGGCGCTT